TTTTCCTAGGAAACACTTACCCAGGTAAGTGCATTTACCCATGTTCTTTTATTTCTCATGTAAACAACACAATGACCATTTTAGCCATAAAAATCTATTATTAAAAGGGGCATTTTTGTCCCATTCAAGTGTTGACAACTTTCCCCCTAGGTGGGAAAGTTATTTACTCACCTAGGARATGGATATTATTTACCCGGCTAAGTGATACCCAAGAAAATAAACTTTCCCTAATTCTCACATAAATCTAAAAAAAAATAATATGGGATTCTTCCCATTGACCAACTTTCCTCATTTCAAAATCCGAAAAAAGAATGCCCCCTAAAAATACAGAAAATTACTAGGGATGGCAATGGGGTGGGTTTTGTAAATTCTAGACCCCTACTTAGCCTCCCTAAACCTCTCAACCCATACCTGCCCCAAAACCCGCAATGGGTTAGATTTTGAGAATCTAAACCCTCTCGGCACATGAAAGTACAAAATCCTCCCCAACCCTACCCTTCATGCATTCAAGGGTAGGGGCGGGTTGGGTTTAAAACCCACATCTAATTTTCCATTATTTCTTGTCATATATAAGCAATAAACAAGTAAAACATCACAAATAAATATCAAGATTTCTAATTATTTGATTAAGGCATGTAAAAATACATAAACTATCAATTACCATTGACATAAAATTCAAAATATTATTTAATTCAACACAGTATATGAAATTTATATGTTTTCTAACAATATGCAGGTCAGGAGGGTTGGGTTTAGCCTAATACCTTACCTTAGCTGTACCTGTATGTGTTGTAGAATTCCAAAGCCCATACCCAGTTCCCCAAAAAAATTTGCCTTGTTGGGGATGGTAGAGGTGGGTATCCACCCAATAGGGTAGAAATTGACATCCCTAAAAATCACAGACAAAAAAAAAGCATAGAAACGGAAAAAATTATAAAATAATACATAACTTTGAATGAGTATTTTTGTAATTTTATCATTATCATACATAAAGCCTATTAACGGGGTGGGATGGGGTAATGTGCTGAAATCTGAATTCATGTGGCTCTTTGTCACAAATAAAGTTTTTTTTGTTTTGGTATCTTTAACAACTCTGACAAAGGTGGTAATGGCAGGACTCAATCCGTGTATCTACTGAGACTGCCCAACTAACATACCAACTGGCCACTACCCAAATGGTTTGTCGCAAATAAAGTTTGGGGCCAAATGCCACTTCCATGAAAAGTATAGGGCTGCAGTATCTAATTTACCTCCTAAAATATTCAAAATTTAGTTGTTTTGGTCACATGCTTTGTTATTTTGGTTGTGAAAAAGCAAAACTATAAATTTTTATACTTAGAATTTCAAAAAAAAAAATAAAGTTCGCTTCAACATCTATTTGAAAAATGTTCTGAAATTTTGGTGAAAGTAAATTTGTAAAGCCTATTGAAAGTTGAAACCAACGTATCCTAAGAAAGGCTCGTTTGGGAGGGCTTTACTTGAATACATCTAGTGGCTTTAGGTTATGTTTTGTGATTAAGTGGTTGTTAAAATAAGTATTTATTGTACAMGTACTTATTTTAACAACCACTTAAGGTTGTTTGGTGACCTATTTGCCAAATCACTTATTGTGTTTTTTAAGCACTTATTCGGGTGGGAATGTTTGGTGAACTACTTTCCCCAAATCACTTATGTTAGTGTAAATGACAATTTTAACCCTCATTTCACTCATACATATAAACAATACTTTTCACATATTATACTATACATTTCAATGAAAAATTGTCACATCAACGCCTCGTGACACATGAGAGTCCATGTGGGCTCACACTTTGAGTTCCACATGGACCTAAATAATAATAATAATAATAATAATAATAATTGTACTTCTAGAAAGTATTTTCAAGGAATAGTTTTCATAAAATGCTTTCAGAAAGTTCTTTCAAGGAGCAGTTTTTACAAAATACTTTCAAGGAGCAATTTTCATAAAATACTTTTAGGAAGTAGTAGTTTTCACAAAATACTTCTAGAAATATGGCCAATATTTTGGATTTTGGTGGATGTGTGAATAGATAATATTGAAGGGGGGGGGGGGGATATTATTAACATATTAAAAAAGTGACTAATCATCTTGCCGTAATGGTGGAATCATTCTTGTATCATCTGGTTCCTCTTATTATGTCCAATAACATGAAGGAAAATGGCTAATTATTCCTCTACCAAACATCCTTACTGTTTTCAATGAGACCACACTCTTTCAATGTATTGAATAGTTGTATAAACACATACGACAAAGTTCATACAATTAGCCATCATGTCCTTCGAAGAGAGATTGTGTGTACACTGCACTAATGTAGTCTATGGTGTGTTTGGGTTTTTTGTGAATCCAATTATCATAGTAAAATTTACTCATCATAGAGGCAACCTCCATAATGCACTCCATCCTCCTCATCGTTGTCTAGCACCCCATTGTAAGATAAACTACTTTTGGAATTTGACTCGGTATTTGATACTACCTCAGTCTCAATTTTGAATTTCTTATTAGTATTCATCTCTTATACTATCGTGCAATTTAATAAATACAAACAATATTTATAATCATAGAATGGAAGGCATAATGGAAAAAGAAACAAATACTCAATTACCATTGAAATGTAAAGTAAATCAAGTCCAACAATACTAATCCTAACACATACTTAACAAAATAAAGAGTACTCAAGTTCTCAAGTTTGTAGGACAAGAAAACAAAACACAGATGGATAAATATATATCACACTCTCTTAGGATGCTCGTACAACTCTTTAATCATCTTCAAATGCAAAGCCAGAGACCCAATTGCAATAATCAAGTTACAGAATTTATCCTTCATGAACTAGAGACCAGCAAATATGAATAGAGGACTCCCCTCCTCAATCTTAGGGATTTCACTTAGGAGGTTCATGCAATGTTCCATAGAGCTTAGCCTTGTGCCCTTGGCAGCTCTTTGAGCCTATTAGCTCAAATGCAAAAGAAATTCTTTCTAGGTTCTTTTTAATCCGTATAGCCCCCGTTGTCTTCTTTCTCCTAGTAGAATTATTACACTCCCCTATGTCTCTAGGGATAATCCTATGTGGGTGAATGCTAGCTAGGACCATTCCAGCCTTTTGCATTGTTTCAAATGCCTTCATGAGTGTTTATGACTCATGGTATAATTCCTCATCCATCCGGTCATCATCCAGAGTCGGTTGTGTTAACAGTACCACCTTTGGTAGTACACCCTTGTTTGGTGCCCAACTATTGTAATCGTGGGCAACCGTGCCATTAAATATGATGTCCAAATCTGCCACATGGGAAAGATCCTTGTGTAGTTTGGGAGTCCACATAGCCTAGGACCTCCCCCCATTTTTCTCTTGACTACTAGCCATAACCTACAAGTTATAATAATAATAACAATAACAATAACAATAGCAATGGGAATTAAAAAAAATAAAATAAAATTTATTATACATATTAATAATAAAGCAATAAATGAAAAATTGAATTATTAAGAAAAATAAAAACATCATCAATATGCAATGAGGATTTTAAAAAATAAAATAGGATGCATATTAATAATAAAATAATTAATGAAAATCTTGATTATTCATAAAGAAAATACAAAGAACATCCCTAATATTCAATGATGAGTTGAAAAATAAAATATGATAAAATTTATTATACATATTAGTAATAAATCAATAAATGAAAATTTGGATTATTCAAAAAAATATAAAAAACATCACCAATATGCAATGAGAATTAAAAAAAAAAATAAAATAGGATAAAATTTGTTATACATATTAATAATAAAGCAATAAATAAAAATTCAGATTATTCAAAAAAATAAAAAATCACCAATATGCAATGGGAATTTAAAAAAATAAAATAGGATAAAATTTATTATACATATTAATAATAAAGCAATGAATGAAAATTTGGATTATTCAAATAAAGTAAAAAAATCATCACCATTAAATTTAACAAATAAAAAATGCAATGAGAATTTAACAAATATTCATATAAAAATTCAAAAAAAAAAGTGCAATTCACAAATCAAGAAAAAATGTAAATATTTAGCTAATTATTAATCACAACAACATATAAGACATCACAAATATTCATCTAAAAATAAAGAAAAAATGCAAACACTTAACTAATTATTAATCACAACAAAATATGAAAAACATTACAAATATTCATATAAAAAATCAACATAAAATGCAATCACAAATCAAGAAAAAGTGCAAACATTTAACTAATTATTCATACAAAAAAATCATGAAAAAAATTCTATAACCACATATTTCAGCATATTTTTTGCATGATCTTCAACAATGCCCAAAAATCCTACTTATCCATAGAAATCATCACACAAACAATGCACAAAAACCCTACATAAATATTTGGAATTTTTCATCTATGAAAATCTGAAAAAATCGATTCAGGTAAATATTCATCCAAAATAACTAAAACACGGCTTATTTGGGCGAACTAACCTTCGTTTGCCGACGTCTGGATGGTGGGTTGTCACCATTAAACACGCCCAAAACAGATTTGAAAACACAAAAGAGGAGTTTTAGGCATTTAAAAAGTCCGCAAAACTAGTTCATATCTAAATAAAAATGCATTAAACGGTGGACAATAGCAAAACGACCTGATCACCGACCATTTTCCTCACAATGCCGGTCGTTGCTCGTCGCGAGATGTTTTGTGTGCCACCCCTGCATCTCTTGTGTTCGAATGGAAGGAAGAGGGAAGAAACCCTCACGGGGGTATAATGGGGATTTAAAAAATCTAAGGGCTGAATCGTCCCATATTGTTTTCCAAGAAGTGTTAAAACAGAAGCAACTCCCATGTCACTTTTTGTTTAAATGTTTCTTTTTAAGAAAACGTACTTACTGACTTTTTTACCAAATATGCACAATTACTTAATTACCACTATATGATCTCAGTAATTAAAAATAATTATTAAAACAAGTGCTGTGAAATAGTCCGAGCTTTGACAGGGAGTCGTCTCGTCACCAGACAGTATAAACATGGGCATTTGGGCAACATCGCTGTACTGTGATTGCCACCGCTCATTAACCATTGTTTGGCAACGAATTTGGATTTGACAATTTATTTGGAAATTGAAGAATCCAAGAAGGGAAGTGATCAGTTATCACACGAGTGCGGTTTTCAGCTCTGACTGAATCGGTGCAAATAAGGGTAATCTAGCTTTAAGTGATTAGTTATGAACTTATCAGTACAGACTACAGAGCCTCGGGCTTTGCTGCAGTTCAATGCTTTATGTCTTATTGGGAAATTTATGTAGTAAGAGTAAAGAGACAGCTAATCCCAGGGTAATCTAGCACAAGGGACCATTGTGATTGTGCAATGGAGGTGTTTGCTAAAAAGTCGTGTCCATTTTCGCAGTTGGCACAACTCGGAATTCCTCACCGAACTCCGCCAAACAAGACAAAGTGACAAACTAAAGGTAGAGAACGTGGTTGCAGAGAAGTGCTTTCGTAGTTGATGCTCCCGGCTGCTGGTGTGGGAGCTACAGTTGCTTCATCTTCCCAGCTTCAATGATGATAACAAGGGTATTTATCACACTACTGCCTTATTCAGGTGCCACCAAAAATAATGCTTTCGTTTATCAAATTCAAATGGGTGGTACTACTACTACTACTACTAGCGTTCTTTTTCTTCCATCTTTTCGTTACAAAACTATGAGAAATTCAGCTCGTGATCTTTCGAATCGTACTCAGCAAGAAAATTTAATGATTAGTCGGTGTAAATCGGGTTTACTTATTCTTGATGACGCACTAGGTTTCTTTGATAGCATGACTAAGACGAAACCCATTCCTTCAATTTCTGTTTTCAATCACATACTGGGGGCTATCGCCAACATGAAACAGTATCCTTACGTTCTCTCTCTGTATAAGCAATTACACTCTTTTGAAATCCGACCGGACGTATGTACACTCAACATCTTAATGAACAGTGTCTGTCACTTGTCCCAGGTCGAGTTGGGTTTTTCTGTCTTGGGGAACATCATTAAACGTGGTTATGAGCCAAATGCTGTAACTTTCAGTACACTCATTAGGGGGCTCTGTATAGAAGATAGAGTTGCACAATCGATGGAATTGTTAAGCAAAATATTGGAGAATGGTTACCCATGCAATGAAGTCATCTATGGAACAATGATTAATGGACTTTGCAAAACAGGAAATACTGGTATGGCTCTTTGGTTGCTCAGGGAGATGGAGAGGAAGGGGAATTTGAAGCCTAATATAATAGTGTATAACACGATTATTGATGGTCTTTGCAAAGACAGACTAATAGATGAGGCTCTTGAACTTTTCTCGGAAATGATTTCCAAGGGTCTATTTCCGAATGTCATCACTTGCAACTCTTTACTTCATGGTTTGTGCAATTTAAACTGGAGGAAAGAAGCCACATACATTTTACAAAACATGGTTGATTGTGGAATCTCACCAGATACAATAACCTTTAACATTCTGATTGATGTTCTTTGCAAGGAAGGGAAAACCTCTGAAGCACAATCCCTGCTAGAAGTAATGTTACAACGCAGTGTGAGGCCTAATATCATCACTTATACTTCTTTAATTCATGGTTTATGCAGTTCAGGTGAATGGAAAGATGCCATGAGGTTATTCAATGAAATGGTTGGACGTGGAATCTTGCCGAATGTTGTCACATTTAACACGGTGGTAGATGCTCTCTGCAAAGAAGGGAAGGCTAGGGAAGCACATCAGCTGTTAGACATAATGATTCAAAGAGGTGAGAAGCCAAATACTACCACGTGCAATTCATTGATGGATGGGTACTGTTTGAAAGGAAAAATGGATGAGGCAACAACAGTCTTTGATTCCATGTTGAGTATGGGCTGTGAGCCAAGTGTTGTTACCTATAGCATTCTGATCAATGGGTATTGCAAGAATCGAAGGATAAATGATGCAATGAAGGTCTTTAGAGAAATGACTCTCAGGGGAGTGCTGCCTGACATTGCTACTTATAACAGTCTTATAGGCGGGTTGTGCCAAGTTGGCCAAGTTGGTTCTGCACAAGAACTCTTCAGTAACATGCATTCTTATGGCCACAGCCCCGGTCTACATACATACTCTATATTGATGAATGGGTTGTGCAATAACAATTGTCTTGATGAGGCAGTGAATTTGTTTCAGGAGATGGAAACTAAAGGAGTTTTTCCTGATATTGTAATCTTCACCATCCTTATTGACGGAATGTGTAGAGCTGGTAAAATTGAGGATGCAAGAGGATTATTGAATTCCATCTCTGCTAGAGGATTAGAGCCTGATGTTAAAACATATGGTGCAATGATAGGTGGTCTTTGTAAAGAAGGTTTGTTGGAGGAGGCTGAGGATATGCTAATGAAAATGGAAGAAAAGGGTTGTTTACCAGATGATCTTATTTTCAACACTATGGTTCGAGAATTTCTCCAATGGAATGAAATTAAAAAGGCAATGCAGCTTCTTCATGATATGGTTAAAAGAGGTTTTTCACCTGATGCATCTACCACAACTATGATAGTGAATTTGATTGCCAGTGATGGGCCAAATAGTAAATATCTTGAAATGTTCCATAAATTTTTTCCAAAATGATATATATAAGCTGGTGATACGGCTCAGAGCCAAGTTGATAATCACTGACTCTAAGTTTGTTTCTTGTCTTCTCAAGTCACCTAAAGGACATTTGCCACTGGGTGGGGTGGGAGTGGTGGGATTCTAGGGAAGGGTGCTTCTGTATGACTATCTCTTTCAGATATGGTCTTTTTTGTCTCTTGAGTTCACCTCATTTCAGTGACAAAACAGTAGCAGCTGGCTGAAAATTAGAGTTTGAAGCATGCCTTTTCCTTCTCTTGGTTGAGACTGTTAAGAGAGGTACAAGATGTTTTATGTTTGGTTTCTGTGAGAAAAGGTTTTGAGATTAGTAATGGGTTGTATAAGCACAGGTCTTTAGCCTTAGAGACTCTTCAACTTACAATATTGAGGAGTTTTCAACTTGCAGCAAACCCTACTCATTTCTCATCATTGCTTTGATGAAAATCTCACCCATTGATTTCCAACTTCTTGGATGAGTTTAGGTTCTACTTGTATTGGATCCATTGGGATATGTACATAATACCTGTGACCATGTTATAGACTCACTTGATTTCTACTAGGAGCAGCAATTGGAATTTGTTGTTGTAAATTATTGAAGCTGTTACAGAGATATGGTGAGATACCTTAACATCTGGAACTCGTTTTTATTTGGACAATAACCTTTTTCCTTCTTTGTAGGACTCTAGTTGCATAGTTGTATCTGTTCCTTTTTGGGTAAGATGAATCAAGCATACAACCTCTTGTATGCAGTCCAATTTGGACAATCTACTTTAAGTGCATTTTTTCCCTCTTCAAATCGTCTTATCACAGTGGCAAACAATTGCAGCTGCAGAAAATTTGTATTTCAAACATTTGTATCCTTTCTTTTTGGCTTCGGATTAGTTAAAGCTTAAAAGAGGTACAACAAGAAAAGTTTGACTTGTTTTATCATAGGCATATCTCTATGTTCATATTTTAACAGATTAGGGGCTGATGTATTGTGCTCAAATCTACAGCTCATAATTTGGTTAATTCCTGCATTAGAACTATGATGTTGAAGATTCCAACTTAGTTGATCTTTTAAGAGAAGATTTATGTTTTATCATAAACATAAATTGGTGATTGTTTCTTTCCCCAATCATATACCATTGAGCAAGCAAGAGTGCTAAGTTTGTTAGAATGGATGGGAAAGGATTTCAGTATTGCAGTTTCCTTTTTCTTTTTCTATTCCTTTTCTTCTTTTCTCCTTAATGTAGATGCAATAAGCAAAGGATTCCTATGTGCAAGCAGGGGCTTTACCAGTGTACAGAAGGGGGGGCAGACAATATTTTGTGAGCACTGTGCCAGATAAGGCTCTGGATTTTGTTTTTTGTTTTTTTTTTCACAAATGGCTTGTTTTTTTTGAAATAATGAAGGGAAAATCTCAAGAAGAGTGTGTGACAGATGGGATAGAGGTTGTAGGGGCCCAGAAGGGCAAGACGTGGCAAACCCTTTGAAAATGTTGTGAATTGATATGATCTCTTAAGTGATTTCTTCTAAGCATTTTTCTGATTCACTACTATTGCCTTATTTAGTAGGTTTTTCCTATTTCTAATGTTTGACTGGAGCTGGTTTATCTGCACCTGGTGCGTTCCCCCCAGGTTCCTTGTTGAGCTCTGATTGCTCTGGTACACTTCTTTCATGCTTTTAATTTATAAATTTACTTTGCTCCTCATACTGTAAAGGAAAAAAGAAACATCTTTTTATTCAAGACAATTGGAGGGTAGAAAAGACTGACCAAAGTATTCAAAATTGACAAGTTTTAGTTCCTTGTAGGCCCCATAAGATAAAAACTGAAAGATATAATCATACAACGTATTAGCATGAGGAAAACTAAACCTTATACAAATCAAACCAAATCAATAGGTAAGAACTCCATTGGGTCCCTTGGTGGAAAGTCAAATATGCAATTAACTTAATAGACTCCTCAGAGGAGTAACTGATGCTGGGAACATGATTTTTTGCAATCTATTCAGAAAGAGTGAATTTGGTGCCTTTATATCATGATTTTGAGACAGATTGCTGCTGAAATTGTAATGGTCCCGAACTGCTTAATTTTTTTTTCTTTGTAAATTTTAAATGCTTATGTGGCCTAATTTTCTTTACGTAATGTATCATTCTCAACTTAGTATTTTTCTAGTTAAATCCTCCATATACATGAAAGCTGGATAACCATGGCCTTTAATCTATACATAAAATCATAATAAATCATATTTATCTACTGTAGAAAGTGAACCAAAAGGAGGAGCTTCAATATTTGAAGAAAATAATATTTAATGTGCTATTTACTTGAAGTGCAAGATTACGAAACAATTTTGTAGGAGATTATATATATAGCTCAATCATGTTAAAGTTGGCTTAGTTGAGAGAAGTAAGTCTTTTTTTATATATTTTGGATAAATTTCACTAACACCCCCTATGCTTTCAAAATACTTTACAGCTTCCCTTATTTCTGTCAAAATGTTTTTGACCACCCCTGTCTTCTTATTACTGTCATCCTATGAACGGAAGGTGCTCCAAGAAAAAAAAAAAAAAATCCTGAGGTTAAATTTGGTTTGATAGAAAATAAGAGAGGAACAGAAAGTTAAGGGAAAGTTCTTAACATTTTTATGGATTTCCTTAAGAACTTCCCCTCAAATTTCTCTTTCTCTTATTTCTACCAAACCAAACACAGCCTAACGCGTAGTTAGTCAAATATTAGATTAACAAAAATGCAACGCAAGTTGGTTATTTTGGAGTTCTAGAAATATTTTACAGGTCTTGTGATGACTGATGATGTGCCGTTTATCTCATTGACATATTAATAACAGAGAAGGGTGAGTGATATCAAAATTCTTGTTACAAAGGTGATCAAAAACATTTTTCAAAAATTTACTTTTTTTTGGTAAGACAGGAAAGTAAATTAATATTGAAGAATGAAAAAAAAGGAAACACAAGAGATATAAGAGCATTGAGGGAAATATCCAGTGTTTTAAATTCCGAATTTCAATGGCAGAAGCTTTAAGTCGATGGCCATTTTGCTTGTTTCATGTGTTTTAATCTCTTCCAACACAGAAAGTGTCTCCGTAGAAGTATTGCTGGAAATTGTATTGGCATGATCTACACAGATTTACAAGAACAAATTTCACAGTTAATCTGAACTCTGAAGCACGCGGCTACCCCCTACAAACCTGGGGTTATATATGGAACTTGGTTAGGGCTATCTCGTTGGCAATGGATCATGATGAGTATGCTACTCCATTATTCTGAAGTCTGATTTTCAGCCTTCTTGATGGCCATCTTTAGTTCCTGTTGAAAATTGCTCCTTGAAGGTGACAAAACAATGTCTTTCCAAACTGAACCATCTTCATATGTTGGATCTGGGTCTGTGTAGAGTTCATCTATAGATTCTGCCTCTTCATTCAACATGCATACTGCCCTTAAGCACCGGAATTCTTGTGGATCAATCAGCAAACTGCTGTCTCCGTCTTTCCATGCTATTAGCTTCACCAACACCAATTATGTCAGTGATATTATAAGTTGGGAAAATCACCAAAAAAGGGTATCTAATATATCAAAGGACTGTAGTCAGGCAATAGCCCCTCCCGTTCAGTCATGTGGCATTCCAACTTTTTAGAAAAGAGGATCTCAAAAGTGGTTAATTCCACTTTCGAATAGAATTATCTTATAAGTGGTTTATTTAAACACATTCCACTTTGAAGTGATACAAACATGACTATTTATAAAAAACACATTAAAAACTTAAAATAAATTTATCAAAGAAATAGTAAACACCAATTAAAGTGGGTTTCTGTTTACAAATAAGACCTCATTTAATCTCTTAAATTAAAAACAACATAAATTAATAGAGATTTTCAAACATAGTAGGTGGAAATAGATTGTAAATTACAAAGATGTAAGACCCGTATTAATTTTTCTAATTTAATTTTTTATAGTTAAATAATAAATTTCAAACTAAATAATATGGGGTCATTCTCTAGTGAATATTTTAAAAATGGGTTTTAGCCTTTAGGGGTAACCCTAATGCCTAATTGCTTTTTAATGATTAAGGATCATGGAAGAATTATTTTGGAGGTAAAACATGAAAGAATAAAAACYGCCGTCTTACTTTTAGAAACAGGAAAGCTTACTATTACTACGTATTGTAACATGTGAGACCTTGTCGAGGGGCCAACCAACATGCTTCAGTTCAAAACTCAATGCTACTACATCTCCAAATTAAGCCAGGCACTTTTTTTTTGAATAATTTTTAAATGAAGGTTAAAGTAGTCAGTTTTCAAAAATCCATTTTCCTTTGGTAATTTGTATTCCCTCAAAGGCCAAAACAACAATTATGTTAAGCCCCAATTTGGGAGTCTTTTTTTAATTAAGCGCCTGTTGGAATAATCACTTACTTAAGGCTGGGTCCAACCAATAAGAATACTTATTCAGAGAAATAAGTCCGTTTTAAATAAGCATCCAAGAAGGTGCTTCAGCATTTATTGAAAAAGCACTTACTAATTTTGGATCTGTTTTGACAGAAGCACCTATACTACTACTATTTGAAAGAAGCACTCATTCTAAGTTTCTAACAATAAGCACTAAGAACCTTAACTCTAAAAGCAATAATGTGATAAGATTAGCCCTAAAGATAATATTTAATAAATATAATCAAGAACATATGGTCATATATAATACCCAGCATGATTATAGGAATTGCACAAAAAAACAATCCACTAAAAAGTGGGCACCCACTAGATATATAAAACACCAATTTTTTTACAAGATTAATTTGCAGACCAGAAAGAGAATAATCAGTACTTAATATTAACAATAATGGATAGAAGATATATACCTTAGGTGGGCCTCCCGAATCGTTGGTGCAATATAGCCTGGCATTGTCAACTAGCATACAGTATCTTTCAAATGCGTTTGCAAATCTCTTGTGAGATTTCAACTGTGACTTCACTCTCACAGCTCTTCCCTTTATAATTGCTCTCCTGTGGAATATTCCCCAATATCGTATTAGTCTTGCATGATCAAATGAATATTCTTACATATCTGAATAAACAAAGGAAAAGAAAAAGAAAGAAGAGAAAATTCTGTATCAAATATATCATACAATCTTTATAATTAATACCTGATGCCTCTGACAACGGCCAAATAAGCATCACAAACAACTCCAACCAACTCTATTCTGTATGGTTTCCTTGGCTCGGTTTCCTCTCGAACCTGTTTTCGTTCTTCTACTTCTTCCCAGTAGTTTTCAGTTACAGACCCATCACTGGCAACCTTRTATCCTACTCCCATACGGTACCGTCGGCGGTGAACGTTCCTAACCATTGCGATTGTCTGCTCGACAAAGGGTTCCCACGACATAGTACCGTCCATGATCACATCCCGTCCTTCGTTGAGTGCTGTCACTAAGAGAGATGATGCAGCATCGGTAGACGATTGGTGCACCTGTTATGATTTGATTTTGTTACGTTATAAAGATGATTTAAAATCAAGTTAATAAGTGGCATCGAAGATCCAACCCAGAAATCATTAGGCATTTAGGCTGTGTTTGATTGCAATGCAGATAAATTTACACTGCTGCAGAATTATGGCAGAACAAATGATTGAGTGTAAATTTTGATTTATTTTTGTTTCAAATTTTAGTTTATTTTGTTTGATTGCAGTATAAGTAAAGTAAATTAAGACATAGAACAGAATAAAGTAAAACCCAAAACAAAATTAAATGAGAATTTGCATTTTGTTTTCATTTGCATTCTCATGCATTTGTACTAGTACAACTAAATTTGTACTGCAATCAAACACAGCCTTATGTGTAATTTTATTTGCACTAATGCATTAAAAAGTGCAAATTTGATTCACTTTGTATTTGGGTTTCACTCTATTTTGCATTCCTCTACTTTTGTACTATAGGCTGTGTTTGATTGCAGTGCAAATTTATAAAACCATGCCAATGTAAACTCTAACTTATTTTTGTTTCAAATTTTAACTTATTTTATTTGATTGCAATACAAATAAAATAAATTATACATGAAATGAAGCAGAATAAAATAAAATCCAAAACAAAATTAAATAAAAGATTATATATTTTTTCATTTGCACAAAACAAATAAAATTGCACTGCAACCAARTGCAAATGCAGCCATAACAAATGAAATTGCGGAGAGAGAGAGAGGAAATGACCAGCTCAGCGGTTTGAATCAAGTCGTGGTGGCCCTTAGAGTTAAGGGCTCGAAAAATGACGTCCGACTCTTTGAAAGCATCTGCCTCCACCACCACTGCCTTCGCGGCCGCGTCCTTCCAGAAAGCTCTGCATGCAAAGTCCCCAAGTTTTCTAAGCACAGAAACCATCATCACATACTATTTTATTTTCATTTTGTTAAATTTGTATACACTCAAGTGAGTGATTATCTATTTACCAAAAAAAGTGACTGATGATCGCTCGCAGTAAAAATATTGTATATTCAAAGTATTTGATTAAATAATTAGTATGGATAATTAGCTTCAGTCAGTTTTGGCCTTTGTGTTTACTGGTCAATGTGTATGTGATTTGTACTTAGAAATTTTAGATGAGGGTAGTATTATATATAATTTTTCTCACTTATTTTTTCTGTATTTTTTTATATATTTGTGCATAAAAATAATTTTTATTTATTCAGTTTTTTAATATGATGAATATAGTATATTACAAATGTATTTCAATGATTTCTATATATTTTATGTATTTTTTTTATAATTTGTGTTTTTTTTTTATCTTTTTATATGATAAACGACTTAAACATATCCTGAATTTTGGTTAATTAATTTTAACATACCCTAAATTTTGCGGAAGGACTTATACATGCATTGGCACGTTACTTCCTCTACTCAAATGATGAAAATGGTAACAATCTCTCTTTCTGTATATATAACAGAGTAATCAGTTTCCTGGCTTTTGGTTGCTGGCCTTATTGAGGCATTTTTATGAACAATGGGGTGGGCTGGTGGGTAAGTAGGGTAGGGGTGGCCTAGCATGTGGGCTGGGCGTGCCCAGGGGTGGGACACTAGGCGCAAGGGGAGGGGGTCTTTTGTTTATGTTGCACTTAGAGAAGGGGATGTTGGGCCAAGAGAGGATTTTTATGGACTTGGTCCATTCATACAATTCGTCGAACTGGTGGCGGCTATCTCTGTTTTCTAACCCARATCAATTTGTAGTCTACTGATTATTAGGGGTGGATTCGAGCTGAGCTGAGTCGAATAACTAGCTATTCGAGTTCGGTTTGTCAAGGTAGTATGAGGCTCAAGCTCAGTTCGAGCTAGAATCTTGAGCTCAAGCTCGGCTCGAGTCAAAAGCTTATAAGCTCGAGCTCAATTTGAGAAAAATGTTTTATAAAACAAATTATATATAAAAAATATTTTTATTTGATATTTAAAAAATTAAGAATTATAATAATTAGTTATTATTATATATAAAAATAAAAATATTCTATATATAATATTATTATTATATATATTATTTTCTATAGTTTTATATTATTATATGTATGTATGTATGTATATAACTATTCGAGCTCTGCTCACGTGCCTCACAAGTCGAGCTTTATTAGGCTCAAGCTCGGCTCAATTAATAAACGAGCCTGTAAATTGGGCTCAAGCTCGGATGAAATTGAGCCGAGCTGAGCTTTTCACGAGACAAGCTCAAATAGCTCGTGAAAAGTTCGGCTCGTGGCCACCCCTACTGATTATTAATAGGGTAGAGAAGGGTAAAATGGGGTTTTTAACAATTAAATAGGCCACATAACCTCATATTTATTTGTTATTAACATTTTTTCAATAGAGGGTATATTTAAGTTGTGGGGTCAACCCACAAGGTATGTATAAATCCATTTGTAAAACTCAAGGTATGCTTATGTCAATTAACCAAAATCCAGGATACGTAAGAGGTCTAAAATGGGCCCTGTCGCCCTCCCCAGGGATAATTTGGGGGGTTGGCCTGGCACGGCCCATGGCCCAAGCCTGCGTGGGCTTGTGTYGTGGGCCTGGGTCGGGCGGGTTACAAGCCATGCCAGGCCTTGGGTGTGGCTGAATTGGGTCAGACTATTTTTTTTTTGTTTGTTTTTTGACATTTTTGTTTTTTTATTTCTTCGCTAAGTAAAACTAAAATACTTAACTTTCATTTGGGAACTATTTGAAAAAAAATAAGAAATCTTACAAAGAAATGAAAAAAATACTTAACCAAATAAGAAGTCAAAGAGACAAAAACTCAAAGTGAATAACAAATTGGAAGAAAAATAGGAATTTTATTTCATTTAAATTTGAATGATACAAAGTATACAATGGTTGGATAAATGAAATATAAAAATTGGAAAATGGAATAAATTAATAAAATATAAAAAACACAATATAGTTACAAATTGAAAATAAAAAATTATGTTATTAAAAAATGTCAAATAAATTTAAATAAAATTAAAACAAAATTTACAATAATTTGAAAAAATGCTATACAACTATTGAGTATACAAAAAATATTGACTTCATCATTTTCTCCTATTGTTCTTGACTTTGATCATTGTAGGAATTGAAAATGGTGGAGGATAGGGCTATTTATAGGAGTTGAAAATAATTCAATTGCCCAAAATACCCTAAAAACTAGTCATTTTTTAGTTGTTAGGAGGGGTATTTTGGTCATTATAAAGTTATTTATCACTTTACCCAAAATGCCCCTCAGGCCCCTAACTAGCTGTTATATAGTTGTTGGGGGGCATTTGTGTCATTCTTTCTCCCCCAAAACCAAAATACATAAATACCCCCTACATAGTTGTTTATTGCTGTTGGGGGAGGGTATTTCTATAAAAAAACCCCATTTGTTGGACCTAGAACCCTCGGCTTAGCATGGCCCAGACCATTTGTTGGACCTGGCAAGGCCCATGTGTTGTCATGCCGTGCTGGTCCAAATTCGTGCTAGGTCGTGGGCGGCACGATCCAATTTACACCTCTATGTATGTTTAAGTCTTTTACCCTAATTTTTATTATTTAGTTATAACATCATTGGAGGGTGGGTATTGGTGCAATGGTTGGGTTGCTCCAATTTGACTTGGGTGGTCGGGGTTCAAATTTTGGAAACAACCTCTTTATATGTGTAAGGATAAGGTTGTATACACCTCTCCCTCCCATACCCATATTGCCATGAGCCTTGTGCACTGGGCTACCTTTTTTTATAACATAATTGGTTGACCCATTTAACCTGAATGGTTGAATTGCTTACTTGACACTTAGATAGAAGAACAATTTAGTTTTTGGGTCAATTTTAAGAAAACATGGGTTTTATATTATTAAAAGTATTGGATATAGATCTAATTAATAAAATTTATTGATGAGAAAAATACCTTAAATAAATATTTTAATGAGAAAAAATAGAAAGAGTTTTTTTTTTTTCGGTAATAAGAATAGAAGGAGTTAATACCTTAAGCATATGACTTGGTGATAGGGAATTAAATGAGGTGAAAAATACTAGTTCTCATTACATTGTTTGCCCTCATAATTAGAGGGGGACTAAATTTAAAAAATATGGGTACTTTAGTAAAAAAAAAGTTCCACAAGGTCATCCATACTTTTAATAGTAGATAGATATAAATGTGCTCAAATTTTTTACAATTTCTTTTTATATTTCTATGCATAAAACATATTTCTTATTTATATCACACTTATTGTTTCACCAAAAAAAATTATCACACTTATTGTTGTTCAATATAATGAATGTACAATATTAGAAATTTGTCTAAAAGTTTTCTACAAGATTTATGTATCTTTTTATTTTTGTATTTTTCTCTTTCTTGTAATTTTTATTATTTAATTATGAACTAAAGGTTAAAACATTTAACCAGAAAGTTGAACTATTGACTTGCCACCAAACATGAAAATAATTACATATTTTATTTGGGTTTTAAATTTTGTATTTCATCTCCTTCTTCAATAAAAACTCTTCCAAATAAAAATTTGACCTGTAGTAATGTAATCTGAATTTCATTTCGTAAACTTATTTATCTACAAAAGCAAAGAGATGTAAAGTGTTATTTTAAATTCTGCCTTATTTCATAAGATCTAGAAGCACTTTTACAACCTTCTCTTTGTTTGAGGATATTTCAATTGCACTCTTTTTGAATTGAGAATGAGGGCCTTTCTTAAATTGTCCCTCGATCAAAAGGACATAATGCAGATGAAGCATTAACTTCATAAACTTATTTCTTAGGTATAACATTTGCTACAATATCAATGGCTTATCTCATCATTCTTTCCACATGAATGAGCAGTTATTGAAGTGTTGTTTTTAAGATCAACGTGTGGATTTATGGATAGGATGCAAACGGATCGGATCAGTTTGAATCAGGATATATCTGAATCTGATCCAATACTATTAATAGCATATCCAATCTGAAAATTCAATCAAATCTCATAAACATGAATTTGAATTCAAATTCGATGAGGAAGTCGGATATTCGGATTTGATACGCTCCAATTTATTTTTTAGAAACATTAATAAATTATTAAAAGAAAAATAAAATATAACAATTTAAATAAAGAAAACAAAAAAAATACAAGTATGTTTTCAACTATTTTCATCATATATATACATGTTTTTTATAAAAAAATAAATAACATACATATGTGTTATATATATTTATATAAAAACATAAATATCATATATATCGGATAGGATAAGGGGGGGTGGGGGATTAGATTTCTGATTGGATCCTATTATCCAATTTGTTCTGATCTGAAGATTCGAAATGGGGATATTTGAATCCAATAAAATAGGATCAGATTGGATCATGATATGATCCATTTGCACCCTTATTTATGGATTCTTGTTTATTGCATTTGTTTTTCTTTAATATGATCAATATAAAATATTAGTCATGTGCCCAATTTTTTTCTATATATATATATTTTATTTTTATATGTTTTATATTTATTTTTATTAAAAATATTATTTAATTATGATATCATGGATTGACCCATTTGACCTAGATGGTTGGATTGCTTACCCACCACCTAGATAGAAGAATGATTTCATTTTTGAGTCAACTAAAAAAACATGGGTTTTATATTGTCAAAAGTATTGGATATAAATTTAATTAGTAAGAAATACCTTAAATGTAGAATTTAATGAAAAATAATGAGAATTATTATCTTAAATATAAGATTTCCTAAAAGTGAATTAAATAAAATAAAAAATAGTAATTCAAGTTACAATTAGAGATGAAGTAAATTAAAAAATAGATATTTTAGTTAAAAAAAAATTTCACACCCTAATTTGTACTTTCAATAATAATATAGATATAGGTTGTATTCATCATAATATTAATGCAATTCATTAATTTTAAGCAATAAAAAAGTTTAAATGAGTTCTTACTGGTTGAGTATCTCCTTGAGGATTGTGCTTTTTCCGGCTCCCATTCCACCACCCAACAACAGTAGCACCGGACTTCTCTCACTATGGGCCGCTGGTACCATCACGTCTGTTTGTGGGTTCCCAATCGCTTTCATCTCCTCCACTAATGTAGAGAACAATCTTGTAATCTTCAAGTCCTTGGTCACCTTATCAAATCTCTGTTTCCTATAAACCAATCAAATAAACCTTGTATGATTGTGATGATAAAATAATAACAATACAAGTGCAATTTAGGGCTGTTCATGAGTTCGGTCAAATCGGTCAATCCGATCCAACTCGAACTGAGTTTGGCAGCTTTCTTAAATTACTTGTCGTTTTCGATTCTTCAAATACGTTAACCTTAGATGATGGGTCGACTTCAGTTTGAACATGTGTAAACTGACCAAAATTGGTCCGAACCGATTATAGACATATATTAAGTAGGGCTTAAAAAGGATAGTGGGGATGACCAGCAGACCAAGGTAATCAAATCGTGAAATTGGCCCTTCATGGTTGGGTCGGTTTTTCTTTATGATCGATCGGTTTCAATTTGATTGTTCAGCAATCAGAAAGGTTAGCTCGGTTGGTCAAAATTCTTGCAACCAAACCGACCCAACCTGTGTACATGCCTAATAATCTTATATTCTTATTGAAAACCAAAACAGTGGACATATAGTTTTAGCTTTCTAGAGGAAGAATACTAGGGTAAATTATTTCTATCTAGGCCTGCATTTCCCCGTCTATACACCCACATCAAATCTAACGCAAGTTACCTGAACACAATGACTGTTTAGTGGGCTGTGGAATCAATGATAATGTTCTCACTGATCATAAAATTGTGGGTTTTATATATTTTATCACTGACATAGGGCGTTATGCCGTTATCAGTGGTTCCACAACCCTGCTGGGCCATATTCTCAAAACTTCTGGGCTCTAATAGAAGTCTTTCTTTCAAGCTTGAGCCTGCCTAGACCCACATCACATCTAACTTTGATTAGCTGAACGCAATGACTATTTAGTGGGTATCGAACCAACCAATGATAATGCCTCACACCAGTCATAAAATACATGGAACCCACGAGTGAGAGATTGAATGGTGTGGGTTTCATGTATTCTATGGCTTGCGTGGGGCGTTACCAAGTATCAATTTATCATTGGTTCCACAGCTTTGCTGGCCCTGGACATATATATATTATGGGACCTGGGTACGGTTGGGCCGGGTTCAAGCAGCCCTATGTGTATGTTGTCTCTATCCCAGAAAAATCCAACCTGGGCCCGGCCCACTGTTTCATTATTGAAGCCCTTTGATGGGTATATGTAGTTGCATCCACATAACTGCCATGTCTGTCACTAGCTAACCGTTGACACTTTAAACAAGAGATGTCAATTTTGATCTCTCTTCAAATACTCATGACAGATTTCTATACAAAACATTTTTTGTGGCCATTCTTAATTCAAAATGGTCTTAAATCAAATAGCTTTTCAGCCATTGTAGTCAAAACACCTACTACTTCAAATGTCAACCATGATCATATAATAAATTAAAATAAAGATGATATGGAAATATAAAATGCAAGAAAACTTGTGAGTTGTGATGATGATGATGATAGACAATGTCTTAATCACAATTATTAATATAATATAAGCTTTTACCAAAATAATTATTAATATATAGGCAGCCTTTTCACTTGTATGGCCGTGTAGAGAAGGATCCTACTAGTTTCATGCAAAAAAAAAGAATTAAAAAAAAAATTGTTGAAACCTTATTTGGTAATTTCATTCATCTCCTCTGAACTGTCTGACATAGTTGCAATTAGACCTCTTTTGTTAAGAATCCTTCAAATAGGTATGAAAACGTCTAAAATATTCATACAGTTGTTTATGAACCAAAATGTTTATTTTCTAAATTTTCTCTTCATATGAATCGCTAGCTCAAAGGCTCCAAACCCTTCTAATCTTTTGTCAAATTTGCCTTTGATATCAATCACTTAAAAGTAAAAGTGCAATCTTAAATTCTTTATTTTTTATTGTTTATAAAGCTTTTTTTATCTTTTAAAAATCAGACTAAATAGTAATTGTATGGATATTTTAGACATTTTGTGCCTCTTGTTAAAGGTTTCTAAAAGTCAAAAAGTTCAGGGAAGGTAATTGCAATTACCAAGTTTTGGAGAAGGTTTCAGTAATTTACCCAAAAAAACACTTCTGTCCGTCTGTGGATTAAGAAAACCATATTAGTTAAACCATGCCACCCGACCCGAGAGCTCTGTGGCTGCAAATTGACCAGACAGAACCTGCTCCATCTATAAGCTCTCGCTGAGGTAGTTATTCAGTTGGAGAGGTCCTGCATGGATTCGGATCAACCCGATCCAACCGTAGGTTGGTAGGATACGGATTACGGATAAACCCATCCGGAAGAGCTGGCAATTGAGATCTACAACTCTAGAAGATGTAGGTGGGAGAAGTGTTCTACAGGCGCTAATGCCGCAGGTTGACGACGACGAATGAAGAACGTGATCATTGCCTGTGAACCAGCACAGTTTTCCAACTTCCAAGCCTACGGTWATGATTTCTGAGCTCTGAGCTGGGGCTCAGCTCTCCAAGCCCAAAACTGATCGAAGTTCATTTTCTGAGGCCCATAACTAGTAACAAAGATAAAGACTCTGAGGGCCGATAAGGCGATAAGGTCATAAGTCAAAACCAGTAATAAATAGTTAAAGACCCACCTGGTAGCTGCCATGACCATGTTTTTAAGCTTTCCTTTGGGTTCAGAATCTGCAGTCAGTACCTGAAAATAAAACAAAGAAAGAAAGATTGAAGTTGTTGGTTATTTCTCTTAAATTGATTAATGTCTTGGTTGTGAAGCTTGAATGCTTGATTACCTGACTGATCATGAGCGAAGCATGGCTCCAATGGAAGGCAAAATAACTGAGAATGCATTTATCAAATTCCTCTACCAGCTTTGCAAACAGAGTATCGGCATCTGGGTCATTAGCGAAGAAGGCATAGATTTCATCTTCACACCCTTTTGATTTCCTCAGGTAATCGTTTGCTAACTTGCGCAGTTGCGGGCACTCGTTTTTGTCTGTAAAACCAATCTGTCTACCTGCATCCCCAAAATGGAAAAAAAAAAACAATTAAAGAAATTGTAAATTGTTTTGATCAAGAAAAGGGCAATCTCCATTTATGGCTTCTGTGTCCGTTTCATCTCTCAGTTCCTATCTCAATTGAATCAAAAGTATCCAACAATTGAAAAAGAACAAGTAATCAGAGCACCCCGGTTCCTGTTCGTTGCGTTCGGTTCCTCTTTACTGATTGTTGTAGTAAAACCTGGAAAGAAGGAAAGAGAAAACAGATAATTCGAGGTGGGTGTAGGCGGAATTGGATCATCACATCATTACCTACATAGCGAGAGAACCTTTCGAGCTTATCAACGTGACCGGAATCCGTCAGGCATAACAGCGGAATGATCTTGCGATCAATAACCGGGTGATTTCGACAAGGATAGTGCATCGCAGAGGCAGCGGCAGCGGCAGCCGTGATGATTCCGATGGAAGAGGCGGCGAGGATCGGTAGGTTGAGGGTGCTACTGCTAGCTCCATCTATAGAAAGGGGTGAGATGGAAAGGAAGAGAAGATCACTACGGTTGGTAACAGTGAGATAACTGAAGAAAGAGCCAAAGGAGAGGTCAATTCATGAGTGGAGGGTGACGCAGAAGACCATTCCACCCGTCATTGCTGCACTCCAAAACTTACCTTTCTCCATGCCTTATTTGAATACTAAGAAGAGACAGCAGAAAGAAGGAGAAGACTAGAGGAATTAGAGTGAACAGAGAGACTCTTTGATTTGAGAATGGAGAAACGGCAATCTGCCATTGCCTATCTCAAACTACTTGTAGGGTCGTCGATTCCTGTTTTATATTACTTGGGATGATTGGATGAAGATAGGGGCATGCATGGATCATGCATCCAAACAGTTGAGAGATGATCAGGTGCACGTCCACCGGTACTGGTGGGGTTAATTTACTACGGTTTGATGCTCTCTTTTACGGTGTGGGACCCACATCGCATCTGTGATTCTTTGTGATCTGTCTTATAACGCGGGTATGCCTGTGGGGTCATTTCCTGAATTTGATAACCATCTTGTTTGACTTCTTCTGGCATGGGAGGTGGTGGGGGAGAGTTGATACTTACTCCAGCTGAACATCCAGGTCTACAGTTATAGCGTAGACGTGGACCACGTGGTATCAGAACCATTGGGTTTTTTAATAGGTCTAACCTCTAAGGTTGATTCAAATTCGGATATCCAGATTCCATTCGAATCCAATAAATCGGATTATTGAGGTGACTCGGATAAAATCGCCAACCTACGAGGCTACTACAACTCTTGTCTATAATAAAATATGTAATACCCTACCTTTTAATAAGGGCTGTCAACGGTTTTAGTTCTTAATCGTTTAGAATAGGGAAAATCTATGATGATGCGGAAAAAATATGGCACGGGAAGAGTTTTGACCGATCAATTATGAATTTTGATAAATAACACCCGATTGGCTATCACGTTTATAATTCTAGTTGATTGATCAGAAAATTTTCAGATATCATAATCGAATATTATCTATTTGGAATTAGTTATATTCAATCCCGAATTGATTCAAACTCGATCCGAGTCATTATATATATATATATATAGTGGGGGCCCATGCGAGGATGGGCACCCCTCCTTGTCTCTCGCCCCCATAAGTTAAGACATTCTACTTTATCCCTGCCCTAACCCCAATGGTGGGGCAAGGCACCCATTCCCCGTTGCCCATCGGGGGTAGAGAATCCCCAAATTTTCCCCACCTTGAGACAACTATCTAAAAAAATCTAATTTATGGATGTTTTACAAATATGATTACGGGAATTAGGGGGTATTTTAAGAATTTGATTATAGCAATTTGGGGGTATTTTATAAATGAAACTATGGGATCCTAGGATTATAAGAATATGAGAAAAACTTAGAGATATTTTAAAAATCAATATTAAATCTATGGATATTTTACTAATTTACCATCAGGTTTGGGGAATTATATAAAATTCCCATCCCTAATTTGGGGCAAAAACATTTTCCCTGTCCCCACCTCGCCTTTGCCACCTCTACAATTCTAATAATTTTCTATAACTAATTAACTACAGTGGATTAAATAACAATAAATTACAATATTTTATAATAATTTCCGCAAAATTATTGAAATTGTTACCGATTAGTACTAATGTATAATAAATTAGTTATTTACGGTAACAATAAATTGATATAAATTATTTACTATTAATCAACGTAAATGTAATTATAATAAATTAACGTAATTATGGTACATTACATTATTTTTAATTAAAAGTAAACCATTTGTTGTTAATTAATGTAAAACCAGGTATGGTCAAAGTCAACCAAGTGGTCTAGATCAGTGTGGATAGACTTAATAATTTGCCTAAATTTTTTAATATTTATTTAGTTGAATAATAATAATAGATTATTATTTAAATAGTTTTGGAGAATATTTTTTCATAGATTAATTTCTTTATTTTTTAATTACTTATTTAAAAAATAATTATGGATTATTAGTTAAAGAGTTTCCCTAAATTATTTGATAATTGTTAACTATAATTAATAAATTACACTAATTATTAATATCTTTCATTAAATTATTATTGTAAAAATTTAATGAAAATTTATCAAATTACAATGATTAATATAAATTATGCTAAACGTTGAAATTTTGAACATTTATTAATAACCAAAAATTATTAAATAATAGATTTTTTATTAATTTTTGGTAGATTATTAAATTATTTAATATTTATTAAATAATACATTATTTCTGAAATAATTATTTCATAATTTTTGGTAGAATATTTTCCAAATTTTTTTAATAATTTTCATAACTAATGGATTATTTAACAATAGATTATTATTTAAGAATATATTATTTAACAATAATGGAAGATGCCATGAATATATATGAAACATCGAATTCCCCTTATTCCCCTCTCTTTAATTTGCTTGAAATCACATCTATAGATATAATATTATTTGGTTTGGAAAACCAAATCTTAATAAATTATGGTCCTATTTTTAGGGAAGTGGAGAGAGTCGAGGGGAATTAGATATAGAAGTGAAGGAAATGATAAAACATATATTGAGCTAATTAAGGAGAGAAGTTAGGGCCCTGTTTGGATAGACATACTTCCTACTCTGGCTTTCATACTTTTTAAAAGCACAAGACCCCCAAAAGCACGGAGTCGACTTTTGGGGAAGCTTTGCTTCCATTTCGTGTGAGTGGTTTTATGGTCCTATTTTGGAAAGCAAACTTTTCAAAATTTTTTACCCAAACGGTTTTCAAAGCAAAAATACCAAAGTAAAAGTTGTATTTGTACTTTGTACTTTCGTATTATTAAAAGTACAAAAGTATAAGCCTACCCAAACATAGCCTAGGTTGTTATAGAAAGTAAGAGACCCGAGTTTTGGGGGAGAGAGAGAACCCAATGGCAAGGGAGATGAAGGAAGAGAGAGAGTGGTGAGATGGCAAATTGGGAGTGGTGGGTGATTTGGCCCGACCTAGTAAGTAAAGGACAAGTGGATGTGGCTTGCCAGCAGGACGACAACTCAACGCAAAGTGCCATGTCAGTAGATCGGGGAGCTTGGGTGCTCGGTTGCCTTGGAGCCAAAATCACTTTGGTACCTGATGCAACCAGTTCTGGTCACGTACCAATTTTTTTTTTATTTTTTGTTAAGTACCTCGTCATTTGACCTGCTCCCAGGAGAGGATGGTGGAGCTCCCTGGTGGCGAACTGTCTGGGGGAGAGCTATGCCGAGCTCCCTGATGGCGAACTACCTGGGGGAGAGCTATGCTGAGCTCCCTCATGGCGAACTGCCTGGGGGAGAGCTATGCCGAGCTCCCTCATGGTGAACTGCCTGGGGGAGAGCTATGCAGAGCTCCTTGATGGCAAACTGCCTGGGAGAGAGCTATGCCGAGCTCCCTTATGGCGAACTGCCTGGGGGAGAGCTATGCCGAGCTCCCTGATGGTGAACTGCCTGGGGGAGAGCTATGCCGAGCTCCCTAATGGCGAACTGCCTAGGGGAGAGCTATGCCGAGCTCCCTGATGGCAAATTGTCTGGGGGAGAGCTATGTCGAGCTCCCTGATGCCGAACTGCCTGGGGGAGAGCTATGTTGAGCTCCCTGATGGCGAACTGCCTGGGGGAGAGCTATGCCGAGCTCCCTGATGGCGAACTGCCTGGGTGGACTCGTCATTTGCCCTGCTCCTAGGCGACTTGTGACTCAGAGAATGGTGGAGCTCTCTGGTGGTGAGCTACCTTGGTGGACTCGTCATTTGCCCTGCTCCTAGGTGGCCTATGACTTAGAGAATGGTGGAGCTCCCTGGTGTAGCGCAACTCGACTGCCCTCTGCATGAGGTGATCTTCTCTCCTTTGTAGGCGGCGGGAGCCGACGGACCTGCGAGAGCTCCATCTTTTCCTCCTCTTTGTAGGCGGCGGGAGCTGAGGGACCTGCGAGAACTCCATCTTTTCCTCCTCTTTGTAGGCGGCGGGAGCTGAGGGACCTGCGAGAACTAATGCAGGGACCCGAGGGTATTTACCCGACGGGGAATCTCCGACACTTAAGTTAGCATTCCAATTGTAGAGAGCTTGAAGACGATATTAGAGAAATGAGAGAGCTTGGGAGCAGGGATTACCTCCATTTTTCTTCTGCCTTGTCTTTGGGGGTCGGAGTCCTTATATAGTGGTGTCTTGTCAAATCAGGCGTAATAGCCTCTGTCAAGTCAGGCATAACCGCCTCTGTCTCTCTGCCGTAGCTATTACTGCTAGAGCTGAAGTGGCGGGTGCAGACAGCTGTTGCAGAGTATAGCTCTGCCAGGCAAGGGACAACTCTCAGGGCTGGCAGGCACGGCGCCGCTTGGCAAGAGATGTGGGCGCAGGTCTCCATGTCTGTCAGGTACGGTTGTTAGGCAGGAGATCTTCCTGCGATATGCCGAACTGCTCTTTTGTACTAAGCTACCCTACAAGTGGCGAGCTGCCCGGGGGGGAGCTATGCTGATCTGCTTGTGGCGAGCTCTGTCGAGCTGCCTGTGGTGAGCTATGCCAAGCTGCCTGTGGCAAGCTGTGGCAAGCTCTGTCGAGCTGCCTGTGGCGAGCTATGGCAAGCTCTGTCGAGCTGCCCGTGGCGAGCTATGGCAAGCTCTACCGAACTGCTTGTGGCGAGCTATGCCGAGCTGCCCGAGCTGCCTAGTTGTCAAGAGGCTGCACTTGGCTTGCATGAGGTGCCAGGTGTCACAATTTCACTGGAGGGCCAAATCCGCCCTCATCATTTTCCCCCCATTCCCGAGCTGAGAGTAACTCAACGAAGGGAGTAGATTTCTTCTTTTGGCCCGTAAGTCGACGAGCTAGTAAGTGCTGATCCAATTCCTTAGGCTTTGGGAGTTGCCTGTATGTGGCGAGCTGCCTGTAAGGTGAGGAGGTCTCCGCTAGTTCAGTAGTGTAGCCCTTAGGCTCTGGGGGCAACTTATAGTTCACTTTTGTTGATTTTGCCCATGCTGAGGAAGCAACTGAGTCTTAAGCAGTAATGTGGTCCGTAGGCTTTGGGAGCGACTCATAGTCCACTCTTCTTTGACTTTGCCCATGCCGAAGAAACGACTGAGTCTTAAGCAGTAATGTGGCCCATAGGCTTTGAGAGCGACTCGCAGTCCACTCTTCTTTGACTTTGCCTGTGCCGAAGATGCAACTGGGTCTTAAGCAGTAATGTGGCCCGTAGGCTTTGGGAGCGACTCGTAGTCCACTCTTTTTTGACTTTTCCCATGCCAAAGAGGCGACTGGGTCTTAAGCAGTAATGTGGCCCGTAGGCTTTGCCTGTGAGGTGCCGAACTAACCAGGTGTTGAGCTGCTTGCGAGGTGCCGAATTGACCAGGTGTTGAGCTGCCTGCGAGGTGCCGAGCTGACCAGGTGCCGAGCTATCAATGAGGTGCCGGGCTGACCAGGTGCCGAGTTGCCTACGAGGTGCCGAGCTGACCAGGTGCCAAGCTACCTATAAGGTGCCGAGCTAACCAGGTGGGTGCCTTAGAGCTATGATTGCGCTGCATCAGCTTCGTAATGCCGGTCATCCACTCCTACAAGAAGCTACTAGGAGCTTGACCTTCGGGGGCAACACTACTAACTTTAGGTCGCCAGCTCACACGGGAGCCTTGGAAGGCTCGACCGGTAAGGGTGCCTATGTAGTCTATTGTTCGCCAACTCCCGCGGAAGCCACGAAGAGCTCATCTTTGTAGGGGGGACCTTGCGAAGAGGACTGATGAGGCTTTATTCGAATTGAAAGTAAAGTTACTTAGTCTGTTAGCTCCCTGCATAGTCTTTGAGTTCATAAAAAATGTAAACTATAGAGCGAGAGCTTCAATTTCTAAAAAGTGAGGACTTAGCTTTTTGGGAGAAGAGGACTTAGCTTTTTGTAGCGTGTTCCCACAGACGGCGCCAATTGATGCAACCGGTTCTGGTCACATACCAATTTTTTTTATTTTTTTCTAGGTACCTCGTCATTTGACCTGCTCCCAGGAGAGGATGGTGGAGCTCCCTGGTGGCGAGCTGTCTGGGGGAGAGGTATGCTGAGCTCCCTGATGGCGAATTGCCTGGGGGAGAGCTATGCTGAGCTCGAGGAGAGCTATGCTGAGCTCCCTGATGGCGAACTGCCTGGGGGAGAGCTATGCCGAGCTCCTTGATGGCAAACTGCCTGAGGGAGAGCTATGCCGAGCTCCCTGATGGCGAACTGCTTGGGGGAGAGCTATGCCGAGCTCCCTAATGGCGAACTGCCTGGGGGAGAGCTATGCCGAGCTCCCTGATGGCGAACTGCCTGGGGGAGAGCTATGCCGAGCTCCCTGATGGCGAACTGCTTGGGGGAGAGTTGCCGAGCTCCCTGATGGCGAACTGCCTAAGGGAGAGTTATGCCGAGCTCCCTCATGGGGAGATGTTCCCAATACACGAATGGGAGGTGTCCTCTGTTGGGCCCGGGGCACCAATCGAAGATCCTAATGAAATATGTCCATAAATCAAAAATATATTTATATTATATAAGAGTATTTTAAACAAGTATGGTGCATGGCACGTATACTTCATAGTTATACTAGTAAATCAAATGAAACTTGGTTTTGCAATCATATCTAAGCTTTGGATCTTCATTTTGCCACCTATAGAAACCACTAATAAAAGGGAGAATGATGGTTCAACCCACGTTGGGCTCGGGGCGCCAATCCGAGATCCTAATGAAATATGTCCATAAATCAAAAATACTAGTAAGAGTATTTTAAACCACTAATAAAAAGGGAGAATGATGGTTCAACCCAGGGTTAGAATTTTTGATRCCAAATGGGCGGTGCCAAATGGGGTAGGTGCCAGCTCGGAATTGATGCCAAATGGGCGGGCATTGGTGTATAGAGTAAGGGTTTTTGATACTTTGAATGTTTATAGATCTGCAGTGAAATTCAGAAATCTGCATTGGGCATGTCCRTACTTTTCCGCTAATAAAAAGGCATGAACTGGAATCTGGTTAGGGATTCGATTCGGATCAATAAGAACTAACCCAACCCCAACTTAAGTTGTGAACTTGTATTTTAAGATCCAATTCTTAAAAGGAATCCAAGGGTCTAAAATTTGATAAAAAGAAAGGGAAACATTTGCTAAAGATTCAATGGTTGAGGAATTTGAATTTTATTCTCACAAAATCTATTTTTATACCGTCCTTCCAGCCCTTGCAGCCGTGTATTAGGAACATCTTTGTATTTGTATATTTTTATTTATAGGAGATTCTTAATGCATGGCTGTAAGGGTCGTGAACCTGGTGTAAGGTTGGATTTTGTGGGAACGAGATACCAATTCATAGTTGAGATGGTCATTTGGTGTCACTTCCCAAWAAAGGAGGAAAGTGGATTGGCAGAACTTGAAGGTTGTGCTATCATGCTTATGCGATGTGGAATTAATGATAATGCTCCACCAAGTTTCAAAATATTGATACGCCTGATATGCCAGTAGGGGTGTATCGGGTGATATTGATATTGTTTTTTATAGTTTTTTTTTTATATTTTTTGAAACCGGTTCAGAGGGATCAGTTTAAGGCTCCTCCATCCCCTGAATCGGTCAGAACCCCGATACACCCACTGTAAGGGCATATCAGAGAAGTCCCAAGATGATACATATTTTCCAATACAGGTCAATACGTATCGATACTTTGAACCTTGTGCTTCACACCAGTCATAAAATGCATATAACTATTCAATCTCTCAAATTCGACTAATCATCATTTCTAAAAAGTGTGGTGCAAAATCAAACTCGGGCTCTCTCTGATACGGCCAGTGGGTCTCGTGTGCACTCTGGTGCGACCCCACCAATACTCTTACTCTCTCTCCAACCTAAGTCACAACATGTGAAGAAAGAATGAGAATGAGAAAGGAGAAGTGGTCAATAAATTATTCACCACTGAAAGAAAAAAAAATGATAAAAAAGAATTAGGAAATGCCCCAACTGATCAACTTTGATCGTGACCACGGAAAGAATGAAAAAATACATACATTAATTAGACTATTGTTGCCCAGCAGCTAATTTTATTAAGAATACTCCTTCCATGGTAGAAACCCTGCTACTAACAATAACTGTGCCAGTGTGTCCTCTGTAGCTAGGCCAATCATATCCAATTCAACTCAAGCGACCAAACTCATTATGAGGCTTGAGAAGTGTTCTAGTTTCTACATGCATAGATGAACATCATTACAAATTTGAGGGAGTTGAACAAAAAAAAATTAAAATTACGATCCAAATAATTTTATAACTTAAGCGAGGGCAGATAAAAAAGGACATGGGTTGAAATGGTAAGAAATGTTATTTCAATGAACCATAGTTCTTTGCTCATGCTATCAGCATTATTTCCAGATGCTCCATTCTTCTCAGTCCTATGGAAGTTTGATTACTTTGCCTGTTGGCTTAAAATTAGAAATAATAGTGACAACATATTTACTTAAAACTATGTGAGAGCATATATTGATTGCAGGCAAAAAATAATTTCTCACAAGATCTATAGAAGAAGTTGAACAAAACCAATGTTTTAAAACATGGAGGCGTGACACAATGCATTCTACTACTTAGAGGTGTGAGGTGTAATTCAAAATGTAAGAGAGAGGCATAAGCCTCCTTAAGAGGAAGGGGATGAGGAAGGAGGAGGGGGAGGATGAAGAAGTGGAGAGATGATCTCATTTTTTTATTTTTTATTTTTTATTTTTAATAAGAATCTTTATATTAAGAAGAATGAAGATGCATAACACTAGAGGCATGGGGTAGATCCCCCAGCTCACTTTCTTTCGCTTTTTCTTTTCTTTCTTTTCATTTTTTTTTTCTTTCTCTTTCTTTCTTTTTGCTTTCATTCTCTTTATTTTTTTTTCATTTTTTGTCTTTTTATTTGAGGTGTGCATAAAGCACATGAAACGTTTGCCTTTAGCACGCCTCATGAAAAAGGCATACGAGGTCTATGCCTCCCATGCCTTTTAAAACACTGAGCAAAACATAGGGTCACTTGGGCTATTATATTTGGTTTGATAGAAACTAAGAGCAAAACCGAAAGTTGAGGAAAAGTTCTTCAGGAAATTTGTGAAAGTTCTTAAGAATTGTCCCTCAACTTTCTGTTTCTCTTATTTCCTATCAAACCAAACATAGCCTTGGAGAAAGAAAGGAAATTATGGTTGATGAGTTGAAATGGGGTTTGAATTGGGCAACAGGTTGTACAAAAAAAAAAGGTACAAAAACAGATAATGTATAGCTGCTTTATATACTTTGTTATAAAGGCGTTAATATTGATATTGAAATGAGCCTTACGGACACTCCTAATTATGTTACCATATATAGAAAAATAAAACCCCTGCACTCAGAAATTTTCTAAAGAGCACTTTTGATCTCTTAATGCAAATAAATTATAGAAAAAGAGAAGAGAAAGAAGAAACAAAGATGACATAAAAAGCAATTTTTTTTCAACCCTCAGTTGAGCTGGCCAGTCGGATTGGTTAGTGATAATAAGGAAAACTTATTATCAATGTTTAAAAAGGTGAATGTTTTTAGGCAGTCTAGGGGCCATTGCGTGGTACAATGGAAATTTTTCTTTCCTTCTGTCTAGTGTGAAAATGTTGATTTGAATATGAGAATGGCTGGTATGTGCAAGAAAATGCTCAAGGCTAGGATTATATCCAGGCTACCCCTACAAATACCCTGGATAGCTGGGACCAACATTGGGTAATGTTCCTTTTGTCAGGGAAGGAATATCTACATGCATAAACATGGCACTCAATCATTTTAGTTTGATCTGGGGGGGGGGGGGAGATCTTCATACGTGTACGATTCAATACATGATAGAGCTTCAAACTGGATTTAGGGACTGTAAAATTGCTGAAACATGAATTAGTTCTACAATCAAAGAGAAAAAAATGTAGGCAGAAGAGTTTAAGCGTCTCTCCTGATAATTATTGTAAACCTTAAATTTATCAAGTGGAATAAAGAAGTATGAACTAATGCAAAAAGGCAAGGCATTTAGGAATCGTGGGCTGTAAATATATTATAAACTTCAACTTTGGTAAAGAACAATGGCAGAAATAGAAAATTGAGCTAAAGAGATCAAACAAATTAATCCTCAAGTATCACTATGGGATTTATAAAGGAATGTAGAAGGATCCCTTCATCATCAATCATCACCATGACCATCATCATCTAAGCCTTGTCCCAACCATATGGGTTGGCTACATAAATCCTGTTTCGCCATTCCTTTCTGTTCAGTGGCATATCTATTGTCAAATTATGGGTGCTTAAATCATTTCTTACTACTTCCAACCAAATCTTTATGGACTTAAGTATCACACATCACAATCGCCAATCTGGAGATGGCAAGTGTCTAGGATGTTTCAAAAATTTCATGTACAAAGCTCATGAGATTTACCAATTGTGATGCGTAAGCTGGAATTGAAGCTCATGAGGTTTGCCAATTTGTGCCTTGTTTAGGCTGGACTTGAAGTAACCATGACATACAGAGACAACAAAGAAAGAGGAAGCTATATAAAAGCCTTCGTGCCTAAAACCCAAACTTCTTCCGCTCTTCAAGCTTCATTTTTAGGTCCTCTTCAGATGGTAGCTTTCTAGTACTTCTTGAGATTGTACACCACCATGCCATGAGCTCATCCTGTAAAGTACCAAAGATGCTTAACAACTTAGACTAGTATAATATTAGTATCAGGCGCCGAGACACCATAATTAACAATTAGGTCTACAGAGATACTATATAGCAGTTATTTATTTTATTCAAGATTAAAAATTTACAACCAAACGACTGAAATATAGCAAAAGACAGGCTCAATATATATTCGTTTGTATTTTTTAGTAAAACTTTAGGAACAATATATTAGCATATCTTACATGTAAATACATGCAAATATTATGTATGTTTATGCTATAGCATCTCGTATTGTTCAAAATTCATATTATCCTTGTATTGGATGTCTACCTCAAAATTTGCATAATTATTCACCAACTTCTTCATCATATGGAATCTTATATATTTAAGAAAAAATAGACAACCGTCAGCATATAATATTTGAATATGCTATCTAGGCCTGAAAGCACAAAATTTTTGCCCACAGTAGTCACCAAGAAAACATTATTCAGAAAATATTTCTTGACCGGTTGATGTATGTATTCTGATTCAAATCAATAATTTTCTAATTGGCAAAGATAAATATTCCCAGAACTCAAAAATAATGAGTTGAAAACTGTCCATGAACTATGGGGAAATTGAAATTGTGAGCTGGAGACTTTGTCAGCTATTGATACAGTAGAATAGTTCTAGTGATGTGGAACAGAGAGTTTTCTGGTAAAAAATATTGTCAGTGGTCCCTTTTCTGTTTCTATTGCCCAGATTGGAGATAGGAAGCTTGTGGTGGAATTATCTCATGGCAGAAGGTCCCTTAGTACATGAGGGGGTTTAAGTTTAGTTCATCTTCACCTTCCTCAGGCAGAAATTGAATTAGTTCAATTATGTGCTCATTCTTCTACCTGGACAAAGTAATCTATTTTTCCTTTGTATCAAAATTAGAATCATAAATCAAGGATATTCAATACCTACATAAATGTTCAAACCTAAACCTCTTGAGCTTAGTATTTCTTGCAAATGCCTTCCATGAAAAATTCTTAGTTTCAGAAGAAATACACTAGTGAAGTCCCTTTCACAAGAAGTATCCCACAGAGGGAAGTAGGCTCTGCAAGATATGCACCCTCCTGTAATGAACTTAATTTTGCAAATCAGCTAGAAGTACACATTAATGCTCTTAAACTATAATAAATTTTGTACTTACCTTCATAGATTTTTAAAAATGAAGAAATGAGACACTGGTTACATAAAGTAAGAGAATGAGGTTAAAAGTGCATCACCAACTTCTACTTTGATCATACAAGGAATTGATCCTTGTGGAACTAAGTCTAGGATCTTTATTTTGATAGCAGCACCCAAAAGTGTGTGCTATTGGATTGAAAAAACCATTCAAGGAAATGGAATTGTGGGATGCACTTAGGCTATGATTGAATTAGGAAGGAATTGCAAATAGAGGTAGAATTAACAGGCAAATTCTGCAAATTCGACAAATGTGGACTTTCAGTATTTAAATTCATTGGGGATGGTCATTTGTGTTTTCAGAATGAGATGGGTCAGAATTCAATTCCAAATCCACTCCCACAATCCAAAAACAACTTATGGATCTTAACCAGAAGAAATCTCCAAGCCAGGATCAATTCACCATGACTTTCTATAGGATTGTTAGGATATCAAATGGGAGGACTAGATGAAAAATTGATGAGAATACAGGGTAATGCTTATTCTTAGTGAAATATAATGGTTGACATAAAAGGCTATTACCCAATGTTGGTCCCAGCTAGATGGGGTCTTGGGAGGAGTAGACCAAAACATAATAGCTGACATAAATTCTACTAAATATTGATTGCTTTCAATCATTTTCTTAGATGAATTAAGGACAATATTGAAACATGATACATGGTAGCAATTTGATCAGCTATCCCTGCCTCTCACAAATTATTTGCATGGAAATGTGTTGAATGTGGATTGCTTGTTCCTTGTAATCTTTGCATGGAAATAGGATGTCGTCTGGGAGAATTGTTCCTTGTAATCTTTGTATTTTTGTGATTTTTTATGAATGATATGTTCGGTTTGAAGGAAAAGGTAGAAAGGAAGGGAAAGGTAGGCAAACCTATACAAAGTTTATATAGGTTTCCCTGCCTTTCCCTTCCTTTCCCTACTTTTTCCTTCAAACCAAACACAGGGTGAAGGATTACTAAATCTTCTTTTCTTGTAGCTTCTTGATTTATATCAATGAAATATTCATGCCAGCTCAACTCAACAAAGCCTTTATCATAACTACATGGGGTTGGCTACATGAATCTTGTTTTTCCACTCTACTCTATCAAGGGCATATCCCTTGTGAAGTTGTGAATCCAGATAATTCCTTATAACCTAAATAAATGTCCATTTCAGCTTTCCTGTTACTCTTTTAGAACTACCAACTTGCATTAGATAATTCCTTCTTACAGGTGCATTTTGGTGGCTTCCTATGAACACGATTAATGCATGAAATTCCATTTCTGTTGAATCTCAATAATGATACAAATAATAAGGACCATTTTATTTAAATCTAGAATGTAATTGAGATGAGATGTTTACCTCAATGAAGTCATGGTTAGATAGATAGCGACTCTCAACTATGCTTTTGAAGCCTCCAATGTCCACAGAAAGGGGAATCTCAGAACCTTCAACTGATCTGTCTCTTGACATGCCTATAATACCAAAATAGAATCAAAGAGAGGAAAATGCAGACAACAAAGCAAAAGAATCAACAAAGACAAAAGTATAGATATGGAATATATGTATTAGTAATATTTTTCATATATTGGAAAGTTAAATTGGCAGCAGACATGCTAACAGGAAAAAAAAAGGAAGAACTGTTTCGATTGATTGGTCAGAAGAATTACATAAGAAGCTGTTTAGTGATAGAGAGTGTGTTTGGTTCCATATTTACCATTAATGTAAGCCACATAGTAACCTGTTCCTCCTAGTCCTTCTTCCCACTTCCCAAGACGCAAGCGTACAAAAAATCCCTCAAGACTAAAAGCTGAAATTGGGGATTTCATCCATCTGATAAAGATAAAATATGAAGAACTTATCAATTACAACACAAAAGAAAAAAAAAATAAACAGCAAAGAATGTCTGTGACAGGGAACTGGTTTTGTGAGGATACATGTTACATGCAGTGTCACAGTGTTCAAAAACAAGAAGATATCCTTTGAGGCAATGGTAGAGTTGATCACCATCAGAATAATCCATTGGACATAGGTATTTGAGATATTGAGAGGTATCACAATATTTAGGATTCAATTTGTGTAATTACTTGAGTAATGGGTGTTTTAGTATAAGCATGTTTCTATGTTAGTGAATTCATTGGAAGTACAAGTGTACAATTCCCATAAAGGTGTCCATGAAATTTCTAAGAGTTGTTTTAATATTTAAGTAAGCTCTCTTATTTGAGAGGGAGAATAATATTAGGTGTTTCTAACCCTATGCCTAGAGCTTTCTCCCTCATTTCTTCTTCTCTTGTTTCCTACTTGGTGCTAGAGAATGGGAGATCTCCACATGCTTTCTGGCACTCCAGACCTTGAGATATGATCCAATAACTACCAGATCTGGTTGTGTTGACTGGGAAAGACAAAGGGGGTGGTTCAGTGTTGATTTTTTTTTTACCATAAAGGTGTCAAAGGCATTAGGTTTGAGTAAGTGTCTTTTTTGTGGATTTTATGGTGAAAATTCACAAAAAAATTCATATTTTCTTAAATCATTTCAAGTTTACTATTGACAGTTTAATACCAAGTGGCATGGGGCTAGTAGATTTTGAACCTAGTGAGCCTTTTGAAGATATGGGGACAGGTTTTGGATAAAATGCTCATATTATTAGTGCAAAATACCATATTTTCCTCTCCGTATTTTTCTGGTGTTGTGCTTATATATCCAATCTTTAACACATATATGGTTGTTATTTGGTCCTGCTTGAAGCCTACTATGTGTTAATGTGTCTAGTTGAAGTGTTGGAACTTCTAGTTTGGGCTATAAATGCTTATATTAGTTTTGGTCTTTGGTTTACATTTTTTATTGATGCTGATCAAGAGGTTTTATTTGGCATACCTGGATTATAAATAAATGGATGTCTATTGTTGAATTGGTTAATGCACTTGATGTTATTGGGATGTTTTTGCTATATGTAAGGTGTATGATGAAATATCTAAATAGCAGTGGAATGACCAGAGACAGTTTATGGTATCTAAGGCCAGCTTGTAGGTGATTGACTAATGCAATGAAAGCATTGTGGAAAAATCTACGTATTTCCAGCATGCCTATTTGTTTCTTCTCTTATAGTAGTTGCACCTTGAGGAATGTGCTTAATGCGTATTCCCTTTGCTCATATATCACATAATTGGTTCAGTATTTGCAAATCTAATTGGTTATCACTGTGACTGAGGTATGAGACAAGAGGTGGATTTGATAATTCAGCTACTGCCTCCCTGAATATAGTGTTGATCATATCCTGGGTAAGAGCCATTAGCTAGCATAAGGACCATCTAATTAGTTGAAGATTTGTCTCAACATAAGAGCCAAGACTTCCACCATAAATACAACCCAAGATGATTTGGATCATTGTAGGTGTGATAAACATGCTAGTATGCCGCCACATCAGAAGCTTCAAGCCATTGTCTTTGAGAATTGAAGCCTCCAATGATCAGTCGAGTGTACTTACTACTAAGATCACATCATCAATCTGAAGGCAAGGCAACCAGTGCTAACTTGAGGAGGGCATTTAAATGTTTAGGAAGGTATGTTATGTAATTACTTGAGTGAGTGATGGGCATTTTAATTAATGTGTTTTATGTTGGGAATTACACTGTAAGTTCATCTCTAATGAGGGTGTCCATATAATTTCAACATTTTTTTTTCTAATATGTAAGTAGGCTCTCATTTGAGAGAGCATAACATCAGGTGTCTCTAACCCCAAAACCTAGATCTTTCTCTTCTCCCTTTCTTTCTCATTTCTTATTCTCTAGTTTTCTACTATAGGGGTTATGGTTTTCACAATCACATAATTACAGCCTTGACTCAAAATAGTTGGGGTTAAGGCTGAGTTTAGTTGAGATCCTTATCAAAACTTAAGAACGCTAATGTGGATGATTGAAATGACTAGAAAGGATAAAATTAGAAATATGTGTCTAGAGGACTTAGATTAACCACAATAAGTCACAAGATGAGAGAAAGTCAACTGAGATAGTTTTGCCATGTTAGTGGATGACCAGTAACTGCACCAATGAGAAAGGAGACACATGGTAAAAATAGAAAGTTCTAAAAAGGCCAAAGAAAATGTGGACTTAAGTGGTAAGAAATGATCTAAGGATTTTTTATTTACAATTTAACAAAAAACATGGTACTCAATAGAACAGAATGATGGACAAGATTCATTAGCATAAAAATAGGAAAAATTATGAGAAATTAGAAAATTTCATATTTGCAATTTTTAATAATAAAACCATAGCACTTATATAAACAATTGAATTACAATCACATTAAGTATCATCATCCATAACTATATGAGTTAAAATCCATATCACTTGCAAAGTTGAAAATAGAAATTTCCAAATTAACAAATCACATAAATTGCACAWTATTAGCATAAACAAGTGTTTCATATCATATTAAAATGGATGAAGTACACATTAAAAGAAATCAAAGCTATGGTGCCCCCACTTCTATCTATAACATTTTATTAAAATATTATAATTAACAACTCTAGTTCTGTCTTTACAGAGGGAGGTGAGGAAGAAAGAATTAGTGGTCTACGGCTGGGAGGTTGTCGGGAGGTGGGTGAGAGTTCATTAAGGGGAAAGGTTGAGGATGGGGTTTGTGAGAATATTTTCAGTGAAGCTTAAGGGGGCAAGGTTTTGGAGGTAGAAAAAGAAGCAGTTGGGAAAACAATTTCAAAGAAAGTTAGCAAAGGAAAAGGAGAATATGGGAAAGAAGTTCAAGAATAGAAATTGATAGGAGATTTGGGTCGACAGCAGAGGGGGAGTTGAGACTTGAGTCAGAAGCAATTCAGTCTGAGATGGTTTAAGAATAGTTGAAGAGAGGAGGGAGGAGGAGAGTTGATCAAGGAAGTTTGGTGAAGGAGATGACCAAGTGGGTGTGGCAAGGAAAGGTATTAAGTTAGCTACTAAAGTATATAGTAGGAACATGGTTTAAAGTATTGACACTCCTGATATGCACGAACATGCGTATCGGGTGTTTCGATACTTCATAAATTTTTCTTTTTAGTTTTTTTTTTTAAATTGTTTCAGGGGGTCGATTTTAGGCTTACCTACCCCCTGAAAGTGGCCGAATTCCAAAACACCCCTGATTTGGGGTTCCAGGTAGCTACTGCTATGATACAATATGCCCAATACGGAGCGTATTGTATCGAAATTTTGAACCTTGAATAGGGAAAGAAAATATAGAACAAAACCAACTGATCAGGATGGAAATGATGAGGAGTTTTTAGGAGAGGAAGGAAAAAGTAGTCGAGAGGGGGATGAAGTGATTCTAGATGAAAAACATGTCATTAGGAGTTCAGTAGACCTAGAAACAATGGTGAATAGAGGTGTTGAGGTAAGCAACATTTTTGGTACTGTTTTTTTTTTTCTTTTTTCTTTTGGGGGCGGGGTGAGGAGTTTGCAAGGTCTTTTAAAGATTTGGAGGAGAAGAGTCGAGAGGAGAGTAAGGTGTTTTCAAAAGAAGTGGAGTTTAATGTTAGGGTTGAAGGTAATTTTGATAGAAAGAAGGCAGTGGGATTTAATGTGGTGTTAATGTGTGAAGAGTGTAACGCTTTGGTGTCTGTCTTCTTTTTGGAGTTTGTGGGATTTAATGTCTTGGTCGGGCTGTTACAATGGTCTTTTCTGGTTTGTTTTGTTTGAAGTTTAATTTTATTATTGTTTGTAAAGTTGTCTAGGGTTGGGTGGTTAAGTTTTTGTAGTGGAGAAAGTTTGTTGTTTGCAGTGGTTGCTGAAGGGTGTGTTGGAGGTTGTTTTTCCATCTTTCTTCTCTCAGGTGACTTCTGGTCACCTTTCTTGTAATTTCTTTTTCCTTTTTATAAATTTTATTTTTATCTTCAAAAAAATATAATGATTATAATAAACAAATTTGGAGGGTTTTCATCTTCTACATCATGATTATAATAAACACGAATAAATGGTTTCCACACTTTTATTTATGCAACTTTTATTGTAAAAAATTACCTTAAAAGGTAAGCACAATAAAAGTATATGCCTCATATGCTTCTATACTGGAGGCCTATGCCTTAAGCATCTCTATGCCTCCACTGTGGCACCTCTAGGTTTTATATAGTGCCTTGCTTGGAGGTGTGCCTCCAATGCCTTTAAAAACATTGGTCCTTGGGAGAGATATATCCTCTATTTACTATGAAAAAGAATGAGAGATGGTACAAGATTCTTTGTGGTCAAGACATATCATGCATGAAGAGGTAACTACCCTAAACAAAAATAACAGGAAGCTAGTATGCCCAACAATAGGCACCAACCTAAGGGAGCTGATTAAGAAAGGATGGGTGCCTTTGTTGTAAAAATCACTGCTAATAATATTATTTTAATCAATAAGAGCCCCACCCCTATTTGCAATAAAAAATGTTGGTGCATCCTCTTGGCTAGGAAATGCACAAAACCAATTATATACAAGAGAAATCTCAAAAACATAAAATATCACTATTGATCTGAATAAGGAGGGATCTGCAGAATCTCCCTCACTTCTGACCTGAACTAAACATGTTACAGATTTCATCAAGCCTGTAGTGAGAATGGGCTGAATGGGCCTTAGTGTTCTTTATTTCTTTTAAGTAGTATTTAAAAGTTATATTTCTTAGTTATGGGCCTTCTTTTATTTTCTTTAATTATTTCTTTAGTGCTGGCCGCTCCATTAAGGGCATCCAAGTAATACTCAGAATTATTAATAAAAGTGATGAAAGGGGGCTAGAGAGAGAGGTTCAAATTCTTCTTTTCTCTCTTCCTTTCTTTTCTTCTTTGACAACCTATTGCTGAAACTTCTTTCTTCT